ATTCCTGGACGTCCTTGCTGAGCCAGGGAGGTTTTTGGGCACTCTTGCCCCCCTTGCTTCTTGTTGGGATCGTCACCCTTTGGGTCCTGAATATCGTCTCCTTAAGGAACGACCGCTCATCTTGGGCACTGAGTTCCCCTGCCCTCGAGAACCCCAGCGCCTCTCTCACCAATCTCCTCAACTCGTTGAAGTTGGCCCTCTTGAGGTCTAGGGCTACCGCCTTGCTGCAGGCCCTTGTCACCCTGCGCTGGTTGATGAATTCCAGCAAGCGATGATTGCTTTGAACCCATGAGAAATCTGATGAGCCAGATAATGTGGCTCTGTGAGCCAAATCTAGCCTGCAGGCCAGGGTTTGAGTGACCATGGCTTATATCATTTGCTAAGCATTGCTCAGGCACTCTGTGACAGAGTTAAGACCAGAGTTGAATTCTCCAGGGCAGAATTCGTCTTCCTTAACCAGTAAGCAATTGTTTCTCTTCCTCCCATTCCATTTGTCATTCACTGCACTTCTAAATACTACAACAATAAAAGTCAAGATAATTCTGCTTCATTACAGAGCCCTAAATCATTCCCTAAGCAAGTGTTGCAGACTAGCAAGTATAGCAGAAGACCAGCTTGGCTTATCAGTGAATTCTTCAATCAGCTAAAACACAAAAAGGAAGCTTATAAGCAGTGGAAACTTAGACAAACTACTAGGGAAGAGTATAGAAGTATTATTGCTCGGACATGCAGGGGTGAAATCAAAAAGGCCAAAGTGCAACTTCAGTTGCAGTTAGCAAGGGATGTAAAATATAACAAGAAGGGTTTCTACAAGTATGTCAGCAACAAGAGAAAGATCAGGGAAAGTGTGGGTCCTTTACTGAATTGGGGAGGCAACCTAGTGACAGATGATGTGGAAAAGGCTGAAGTGCTCAATGCCTTTTTCACGTCAGTACTCACAGGCAACGGCAGCTCCCAGACTACTGCACCTGGCAACACAGTTTAGGGAGGAGGTGAGCAGCCAACAGTGGTGAAAGAACAGGTTAGGGACTATTTAGAAAAGCTGGATATATACAGGTCCATGGGGCAGGATGGGGTGCACCCGAGGGTGCTGAGAAAGTTGGCCAATGTGATTGCAGAGCCACTGGCCATTATCTTTGAAAACTCATGGTGATCCGGACAGATCCTGGACAATTGGGAA